GATTTTATTGCTTCCTGTAGTGACGTCAGGTTTTTTAATGAGTTGCTATTCAGAAATTGCAATGGGTTGCTATTTCTGTCATACTGCCTTTTCTCTAACTGCCCCTATAACCAGAATCTGATACAGCTGTTCATTTTTGATCCCATGCCTGGTTAGTATTCTCCAAGTTCCAGAAATTCTTCTTCCCAGTCCAGCACCTTCAAGAGAAACTTTTCTATTTCTTCCCTGTCAGTTTTTAGGAGAAATATTATAAGATCATTGTCAACTGTCCTTCTGTTGTAATAACCACAAATTTAAGCTTAAAGCCATACTCACTCTCTTTTAATTCTGTAGGTGAGAGTTCTAACCAGTCTCACTGGCTAAGATCAAGGTGTCCCTTCCTTTCTGGAGGCACTAGGGGAGAATCCCATTTTCTTGCCTTCTCCAGTTTGTAGGGACTGCCCACATTCCCAGGCTCGTACTGTCCCCCCACCCCCACCCCCACCCCAGGAACATTGAACTGAGTTCTTGTCCCTCCACTCCCAGGCTGTTTCTCTGAACTGAGCTGGAAAGTTCTCTGCTTTAAGGATCCGTGTGATTAGATTAGATAACTGGGATGATCCGGGATCATCTCTGCATGTCAAGGTCCTTAATTTAATCACATCTGTCCTGTGAGGTAACGTAATCACTGGTTCCAAGGATTAGGATATGAACAGCTTTAGGGGCCATTTTTCTGCTTATCTTGGTTCTCCAAATTCTTTGCAAGGAAATGTTCCTGTACTCTTTATGAAAATGAACTATTCTTTTTTTAAAGGAGTTTTACTGTTGCAGGAAATTTACCTGTTTCCTTGTTCCTGCCTTTTTTTAACATATTCACACCAACTCTTTGCCAAGCTCATGGTTTCTAAATAAAATTTGAGTTGTGCTAAGGCCAGACATTGAGTCAAGTAAAAACCCGTACGTGTCCCACATTATATAATTGTCAGCAGGCCTGTTATTACAGTGAGGAAACTGAGGGGCAAGGAAACTTGTCCAGGGTCACATAGCCAGAAGTGGCAGAACCAGGCACAAAAGCCTGTATTTCTTTTCACTCTGCTTTTCTGCCTTGCAAGTGACAATGGAAAAATAAATGGAGAAATAGGAATGGAAAAACTTGAAATAATGTAAAATCTCTGTGCTTCTGCCAAGTGTGATGGTAAATAGTAAATATTGCTGTGTAGTTTGATTGTCCTAATGGCTCCCAGCAGTGGTCTTTCTTTATCCACATTCTTTGGCTTGTAACTTTCTTGCTGTTCTGCTTTCACCCCCCCATGGGATTGGTCATGTGGCTTGCTTTGGCTGGTGGAATATTAGCAAATGCTGTGTATGAACAGTTTTTCAGAGTACCTATGTGTATGTGAATGTGATTGGCTTTTTCACAACTGGGTTTGTTTCCTCAGAGACCTGATGCTTGCCTAGGCCAGACCCAACGGGGTAAGCCAGGTTAAGCCCTGATTCCATCCTAGACCAGCCAACCTCCTTACCCATCCACTGTTTAATGTCTCCTCAGCCTGGCTGAGGTCACCACAACCACCAGGCTGACCTGTACACTTGTGCAAATAGTGCATGATTGTTTTAAGCCACTGAGTTCTGGGGAAATTTGGTCTGTAGCAATGATACAGCTCATACCAGATATTTAAATATCATAGAAATAATTTTAATGTCCTTTGGAAGATCATTTTGGATTACTGTAACTAATTCATATTCTTTGAAGATTTTACTTTAGGTGCAAAACCTTCCCATTATATCTGCCCTTTCCCTGCCTTTTCAAAACATTAAAGTTCTTTATATTCTGACCAGTTTCACTCAGAAGAGACTTATTGTCCCTCTTCAAAGTACTTACTATCTTCTAATGAGGTGGCTTTTGACTAAAACCTACAGTAAGAAATACATAGATTCAGAATCACATATATAATAGCAGATAAAGTTTTATGAAACAATACTTATGTCCTCTATTTTATTTTTAAAAGAACTGCTAGTCAGGGATCAGCAGACTATGACTCGCTGCCCATTTTGTTAATAAAGCTTTATTGGAATATAGCCCATTCTATTGCTTCTGCTGCTTTCACCCTGCAGTGACAGAGGTGAGTAGTTGTTACATTAGGTGAGCTGGCCTGCAACACCTGAAGAGTTTACTCACTGGCCCTTGAAAATGTTTTCTGACCCTTGCTCTGAGTTGATTTCATAACACATCAGTTTGTTGTGACCCCCATTTGGAAGACACTGGTCATGTGACCCTGAGTTGTCCTAGTGTCCTTCTGGAAATTACAGTGGACAAAGCTGGCAGATGTGAACTCTAACCTTGCTCCCACTCATTCTCAAACTTTCACTCTTAGATTCAACAATTAAGCTCTTGCTGTTTAACGTTATTCCTGATCGGCTTGCATAGGAAACTTTTCAGGCATTCCCAAAGTGTTTCATTATAAGTAGTGTTATGCCTTCCCCCCCCCCTTTAATTTAAATAAGGCTTTCTAGTGGGAACTAATTGGAATTAAAATGGTCACAAATTCCATTCAAGTGCTGGTTATTTATTCTTTAGATTCCAGCAGTGCCTTTTTTGTAATATAATGGAGTCCATTAGTGGAAGAGGTAGAGAAACAGTGATCCTGACTTATTTTAAGAACACCTCTCTGGGAACTGGTCCTTACTGCCACATTTCTAAATTAGGATGGTGTTATTTTTGAGCATAATACAATTTAGAGACATTAAATCATGAACTTTTGCAGTTGAGAAGACTTTGGAAAAAGTTTCTTTCTTTTTTTTTTTTCCTCTCAGAGGAGATTGGTCCCTAAAGGCCACATTTCTTCAATACTGCCATTTTGAAAGCCTGTCAAGGAAGGACAACATTGTTTATGTTGCACGCTCATGGGGTCGATGAGCAAGAACTGAGGCAGGACAGGCTTCAGAATGATCTGAATATACTTTATCAGAAAACAAAATGCCAGATGAAGGATGGCCGTTGACTCATTTCTTCATTGGCAGTGAGATTGAAATCTAAATAAATGAGCTTGGACTGTGGCATGAAGAACATAGGGAAGATCTGAAGGAAGGTGGTTCTTTACATTAGAAAAACTTCTCCTGAGCATTTTGGAGGTGACACTGTGCCCTCACATGGAAGAAGGGACAGAAGAGCAAGAGGAGCCTAAGCCACCCTCACCCTCTTAGTTCAGGTGGGTGGCAGTCCCCTCAGGTGGCTGGGTGTGTGTAACTAGTAAGGATTCTTCTAGGTGCCATCAATAGAAATCTGCTGGAGCTTGCAGCAGAGTGGAGAATTCACCTCAGGTCCAGCAACCATCTGGAGCCTGGAATGGAAGCTCTGGGAACCTCAGAGTACTTCTTTTTCCTTCTCTCTGCTTCCATCTTTCTAGCTTCTTAATTCTCCTCCCTGTCTTATTCTGCTTTTCCTGTCCCAAGGACAGAACTATGGGTAAAGGTACCTGTTACTGGGTAAGCTACACAACAAATCTGATCTTCATTTTGTAAAGCCTGTTCCAGTGTCCTAGGGAGTGTCAGCTTGAGGTCACCCAGAGGTGAGCAGGAGTGGCTGGAGATAGGACTGTGTTCTAGCCCCCGACCCTACAATGCTGGGTCAGTGTTGTTGAGGGCATTTCAGAAATACGTGGGAGCAATTTGGGTTGTCAGTGACTGAGGGTTGCTATAGCATGTATTGGGTGAGGACCAGGGCTGCCAACCATCTGTAATGAGTAGAGGAGCTGCATAACTCCAACTATAGCTAGATGATTGTGAGCAAGCAAAACCAGAATCTAGACCTAACTTCCATACAATCAAATCATTTTTGCCCATTTAAATAAGCATAAATTATTCTGGTCAGTGAAGAAAGATTGCTCTTTGTTTTGTTGAGAGAGTTACCGTTTTGGAGACTCATACCACCTTAGCTTCACGTCACTGTCTCAGTCCACATTGGTAGCTGACTCATTTTTTGATTTTGCATTAAATGTAGGTATGTAATGATTCCACTACGCCTTCTAGAGTAATACTGTCCAACTAACTGCATATTGAAATACATTCCTTTAATTCCCATTTATGTTTCTCTTATGACATTCAATATGTATGTTTGAAATTATGCTTAGGTAGATTGTATAAGAACTTGATTTCAGATTGTACAGGGGTGTCAGAAGTTTGCTATGAGGTGGGGGCTTCAGGGCTGATGGTTTAGAACACAGCACTAGGGGAAATGGTTTATAAAATAGTTTTTATCTCTCTGTTCTAATAATTCAGCTAGACACCAAACATTTAAAAAGAAAGCAAACCCTGGCCCATACAATAGATGCAGCAGAGAAAAGGAAGAGATGTTAACCCCAGGCGTCCTGTCCTCGCCTAGCCACACTCATGGCTACATGCCTTCCATTAATCCATATAGCGTGGCAATTACTTGTGTTGGACGAAGGCTCCCTTGTGACTATCTTTCATCATTCTGGAAAAATCACAGGAGTAGGAGACTGTTTTGGTCCATCTTGTATAGCTATAACAAAATATCTGACATTGGGTAATATGTAAAGAATAGAGGCTTATTTGGTTCATGATTCTGAAGGCTAGAAAGTCCAAGCAGCATGGTGCCAGCGTCTGACAAGGATCCCTTGGATGTGCTGCAGCATGGCAGACGGTGGAAGTGGATGTGAGAGAGCTCGTGTGCTGAGAAAGCCAAACTCACCTTATGCCAACCATTCTTATGGGAACTAATCCAGTCCTGTGAGACCTGACCCACTCCTGAAACACAGTGTTAATCAGTCATGAGGTGGAGTTTCCATGTCTCCACCTCTTAAAGGTTCCACCACCTCAACATTACTGCACTGAGGACCATCTTATAGTACATGGAGTCTTGGGGGACAAACCATATCACGGGTGAAATCAGATGGTCACGTGAGTTTCATATGAACTGCTCTGACCATTTGGCAAGGCTCTGGGGGATTACATGGGAAAATATACCTTCATTTTCACTAACGTCTAGCCGGAATTTAGAAATTCCTTCACTTTTGAAAGTTGGCCTGCAAATTGCAGTAGTATAAGTGTTATTTGTAACTTTGTCACCAAAAGATATCCAATATTTTCATATCACATAGCAGATATCTTGAAATATCAGTACTCATTGCCACTTCGAAATTATGATGGTTTTTAAACCCTGCTGCTAGATAGTGTTACTTTATGTGTTAATAAACATGCACGTGTATTACTATATCACAATTTAAAAGTATTTTAGTAACTGTTTAAATGTAATTGATTTCTCCTGTGATCCTGTGTATTTTATGCACTTAAAAAATCTTTCTGTGAAAGGGTATGCCTCTCTAGTTCATCAGGAGGTTTGTGGTACAGAAATCATAGAGGATTGTGGGGTGTCTGAACACTACAGAGTCAACTGCTCCCCTATCCTTCATGTCATCAGGACTTGACTTCCTCCTTGGTTTTCCTCAAGGCCACTCAGTTAAGGCAATGGTGTGGGCATGGGTTCATTTCCAGTTGGCTAGTTTTCTTCCTAGAGCTGGTCAAGGAGTTGAGCTGTATCCATGGCTCGTTCACTCTTCTGTCATGTGAGGAGGCAAGTCTGTCAGAACATTCCTCCAGTAGACCTGTAGTGATCTGCACAAGGTACATGTCCATTTAAAGCCAAAACACCAATTTTCTGAATCCTAAACGGAAGTGTGATTTCTGTTGTAGGTTTGCAAGTGGAGAAAAACCAGGCATTCTTCAGGAAAGTTCCCCATAATCAGAGTAATCCTCTGTTTTCCTGTGCCTCAAAGTTATAAATCACCAACACAACTCTTAAGAGGTATCCTAAGAAGTACCCCAATTGCTCAACAAATGTGTATTATAAATAGCTGTGGGGGGTGTTTTCCTGTTACCATGTGACTTAGCAGGGAGGGCTGTTCCCTAGAAGTTAGGACTCTGGGTGAAGTTCCACAGCTCCGTAAGTATGAATTTCATCCTGGTTGCTAGCTTGCTACCCAATGAGTTCAGCCTCCAAGATGCTATACATCAGCCATACTGGATTTTCTGGAGTAAAGGCAGCCTTTTCTGTTTCCAGAAAGTTCTGTTGATTGGGGGTGACTGCCATAGAGGAGCTTACTCAACCGATCCTTGCTGTCCTGAGGACACGAAGCCATTGTTTCACTGCTGTGTGCATCTTTTCCCTCTCATAATGTCTAAGTCTATATTTACAGTGTGAAAATGCTGAAGATTTCCTTTCTAATTCTTTAGAAGTTACGGTGGGAAGAGAGCTTCGGTGTTCAACACTAGGTCTTTGAACAACTATATTAAACGATAATAGGAATAATAATTTTTTATTCTTTGTTTCAAAAAATACTATGCTGAATTGAGTAGTGTCACATCTCCCCCTTCATTTTTCTTTAGCTTAGTTACTGATGGATTTCTCATTGAGTATAAGCCACACCCTTAAGGAAGTAGGAGCTCTCCTGTTATACTGCCGCTGCTCCTTTAAGACATAAAGAGAACATGTGTATGTAGCAAGTTTATCAATGAAGTGACAGCATGTCACTTTCATTTTGTGGGAAGAGGGGTAAAGGGAATAGCAAAATTCTATTGCTTCCTGAGCTGCTGAGTGTATGATTGGGCCTAATTTTTAAAGTGAAGTATCTAAGATCCTCTCATTGAGACACTGCCCTTCTATAGTGGCATCTATAAGGCTAGCTTTTTTGGCTTGAGAAAGCAAGAATTTCACCAAGTTCATTGACATGGTGATTTTATTCACTTCAAAGGGGATTTTACTCCCTTCCATTCTGAACAACAGTCACTTTTGCTTGCCTCATGGAGGTTTGTCTTAGGGTGATCCATCTTCTGGTCAGATGGATGACAAAATTGATGTGCAGCTGTGGGGTGTAGATAAATCCCTTTCCCATTTCCCACCCTTTCAATAAAGAGTAGGAAATATGGGTCCATCTTCAACTTGACAGCAATGAGGCCATCATTGTATGGACACGCACAGTCTCCCAAGAGTTGCTCTTTTGAGCATGGTGGCTGGTGTTCAGAGGGTACTGGGCACACCGGTGACTAAACCTTGGTCCGATGTCATGCTTGGGCAGCCTTTAAATTAGGTTTCCTTAATTTCATTGAACAAATGTGAAACCACGTGTGAAGAAGTAAAAGGTCTTGTCTGCAGTAACTTAGGTAATACATAAGGTGACCATATAATTTATCATCTAAGCTGGTCACTTTTTTGAGAATGAAAAGGGATGCTATTGATGGTTATGCTGGGATAACAGGCATAAATGGAGAGGAGTGGTCTCCCTAATAATTGAAGGCAGTTTGGGAATTCTATGTAGGTCTCTGATTCCAAAGCCTGCCTGCTCTCCATCATAGGCTCTTGGCTCAGGCTATCCCATCTACACATGAATTCATAGGCACATATCAAATAACTTTTAGACAATGGGTCCTATGCTAGGTGTAGAGCCAAAGAGACTCATCTAAGGCTAGGTAAAAGTTCTCTTTGGCAAGAGAAACATCTGTTAGAGAATTTCATAGAGAAACATAGAAGGGGTGTTTTGGGAAGGCAAGTGATTTTTTTCTCCTTAAAAGATGGTTTCCCATTGTTTGTTTAAAAGAATGGTTCTGCTTTAGCACTTACATGAAAAACAAAGTAAGATCATAGCATCTTGTATCCAGGGCAAGCATCTTCATAGGCAGTGATGTTAAGATACAGTGGATCCCTTGGTATCCACAGGGCATTGGTTCCAGGGCCCCAAATCTGCAGATGTTCCAGTCCTTTTTTATAAAATTGTGTAGTATTTGCATATCACCTACACACATCCTCCTATATGCTTAAAATCATTTCTAGATTATGTATTATACCTAATACAATGTAAATGTTATATAAATAGTTGTTATAGTCATTATATGGTATTATTTGAGGAATAATGACAAGAAAAAAAGTCTGAAAATTTTCAAGACAGATTCATTTTTGCCCCACATATTTTTGATCATAGTTGGTTGAATTCACAGATAGGAAACCCGCAGATTTGGAGAGCTGACTATAACGAATTCTTCAGTAGAAGAATTTGTGTACGTGCAAATTCACCACACCTGTTTTTAGCACTGTGTACATGACTGTTATTATCAAGGCAAGTGTGATATAACCATTCCTATGAGATGTTAGGATAAAAAAACCTCAGCCCTCAAATACACTGTACTCCCAGTCTTGCTACGCTCTGGGTTGTGGTAAGCCTTTGTGACCCTGTGAACATCGGACACATGTGTGTGAATACACTTGGTAGAGGCTTAGACTCAAAGATGAAGAAGAGTAAGGGTCTTATAGATGATATTACTGCTCAGTCACAGAAAGTAGAGAAGAGCATTGCACGGCACCTGGGATTTATTTGTACATAATGTCATGTTCTCTGACTGCTTTCTCAGCCAGTTGAGGTGTGGAAGTAGAAGATTCAGAACAGAGCAGTTCTGTAAATACCACAGCCTGTTAAAAAAAAAAAAGTCTGCCAGATTGCCATTTGTCATCAAGTATATAGTGTCAAAGTCATTCAGAGGCCACTGCTGGGAACCTAAAGCAAATAGCTGGATAGACAGGTGAGAATTATGAACTTGGGTGAACATTTGGAATCCAACTTTGTTCTGAGGGCTGTTATTATGCTTTCATTTTATACCTAAATTAGTGGGGGACCTGCCTTCTGAACTATGGAGCACCCAAAGAAGACTGAATCCTAAACCAGGCAAATGCAACTTTCTGATATTGAAGAAAAAGCCCTCTCCTATCAGGAGTGATAGGGGGACCTGAAGAAAGCCTGGATTCTGGGAGGGGGTGTAGCACTGTGCATTGTTTAAGCCACTTCCTGAAGACCACATTTAGTTCTGAAGGACCAGTTTTTTTGTTTTTTCTCCAGAAATATGAAAACCACTGACCAGGAGATAGAGAAAAAAAGAAAGTAGGTATGAGGGGAGAGGCACAAGAAGAGGAATGGGGAGAAAAAGGAAGCCTGGCCTCAAGCAGCAGCTAAGACAAGGGGAGACTGGAGGATATAGAGCAGTTGTGCTGGTATGGGTAACCAAAGGCTGCTTGGATTAGGCCACCAGACACCCTCTGGGAAGTCAGGAGACCTGGGGTTTGCTGTGTTTCCTGCCCGTGACTAGCTCCTAAGTCTCTGTCTCTTCCGCCCACGTGGGTGAGTAGGGGGTCAGATGTTATCCACCGTGACTTCCAGCTCAGTGCCAAGCCAATGAGCTATACCTGTAGGGCTCATCAGTGTGATTCAATAAACATTTACTGAGACTTTAGATATGTGGAACTAGGCACAAAGCACTTGACCCACATTCAGGGTGGGGCCTGTCATAAACACTCCCATGGCTTCAGACAATAGGAAGAACAGCTGATTCTGCCAGAGCAGTTACCATGTGCCAGATCCTGTTATGAATCCTCTCTATTGATTTTCATCTGTTAGCCTTCAATCTTATACAAACAAAAGCAGTAGCAAGGCTTTTCTGTTTTTAGAAATGAGGAAACTGAGACATAGAGAGGTGAGGTAATTTGCTGAGGTTTTACAGCTGGCAAGTGGTAGAGCCAGGATTTCAACTCAAGGAGCCTGTGTAGTTGCTATGGGAGGAGTGTGGTGGTCACATGCTTTTTTCTGTCTCTACTGTAGGACTGTTGGCTGTCTGAGGGGAGCCACCATGTCTGTCTTGTTGACTATTTTATCCCTAGTGCCTGCCTCAACATAAACTCTTGGGACATTCTTGTTGAATGAATGGGTGGATAGATAGATAATATGGATGGATGGATGGATGGATGGGTAGAGTAGATAAACAGGGTCTCAGAGAACTTACAGTCTAAAGAGAAAAACCTAGAAACAGCTAAAGTCAGGTTTGGGGCAGGAAGAGGGCTTATTTAATAATCCAAGGCTTGAGGGAGGGCTTCATCTGTGCCTTGAAGGATGTATAGAATTTGGCGACTGTAGTGGGAAAGGTGTTGCTAGAAGAAGGGGCCGTGTGGGCTAATCCACAATCACTTCAAGATTCCCAGAGCACTGAGAGCAGGAAGGGAAAGCCTTCCTGGGAAGATAATTTGGGCTTGCTCCTGAGAACAATGGAAGGCACCCAAAAGACTGAAGTGGAGATGTGACTTGGGCAGACTTGGATTTCTGACAATGTTCTGGCCACAGCCTAAAAAAGAAGGAACAGGAACAAGATTGGGTTAGGAGGACCAGGTTACCACAGAAGTCTTGGTGAGAGAACATGGCAACTCATAGTGGGGTCTGGAGGGTGGGTGAGGAGTGCAGGGGATGCTGTGTTCACGGCACCCTAGGGTGCTGATGTGTACATGGGTGTTCCCATGTGGTACATCACTGAGCCTGGGTATCCGTGTGGGTTAGGCCTTGCCAGCATCAGGTTGCCATTAGAGCCAGGAGAGTTAATGATACCTCCTTGAAAAAGTATTTCTGTGGAAAAGCCAGTCCATTGAAAAACTTGCACTTACAGGCTGAGCCAGAAAGATGTCCTGGAGAAATGACCAGAGAAACCCTGTTCACCTGGGTAAGCAGGGCCACAGTTTTATGGGACAGATATTCCTGACCTCCCAGTGCACCTGGCATACTTATGAGCACATTAGGTACTTATTCTACACATTTACTCTCCATAAAAGCCTCGTGAGGTAAGTGTCATTCTGATCCCCATTTTACAGACAGGAAAGCAGGCAAAGCCAGGCTGAGTCACTAATTACCCAAGTTCACATGCATCATATGACTACAAGCACTGGGGAGATAAGACCTAAGTATTTATTGCTTTTGTGGATTTGGAAATCTTTAAGGATCT